TTTAAACTAATGAATAATTATACGTTTATAGATGCATGCAATCTTGCATACAAACACTAATTTAATAAAAAAAAAGAATTATTAGGTTTAAATGACAGTGAATAGTTTTCTTCGATGTTTTTGTCACTTTGTCATATATTTGAGAATTCGATTTAAAATATCAAAATAATTTTGTATCTACATTTTGATCTGTTAACGGCTTTTATCGTTTAGTAAAAAAGGGTAATGTGCCTCTCTGAACACAGCAACAAACATAAAAATCATTCATTCTTCTATAAACTTCCATAGTTGCTTGAAATTTTACCTCTGTTACCAAGGTACTTAATGAGAAATTCTCATACTGATTGTGTCAAATACTCATTTTATCGGAGTATTACTTTAACAAGACAAATTTTTTGAAGGTATTTATTAGTGCGCACACAATCAAAGGTATAGAAACAAGATGAACTTGAAATCTATTGTCTCTACAATAAAAATATGTTTAAGTAGTTGTCAAGTACAAAACCAATTTTTGATGTTCTTTTTATGTAGATGTTCAGCATCATTTGAATCAATGAAGTATTCTATGTATGTTATCCTACTCGTCGTAAGTTGCGAGTAGTGAAGAGCCTTTTCAATTTATTTGTCAGATTCGGTAATGAGAAACAAATAATAAAAGGCAAAGTAATGGCAATTCCATACGCCCAGTAACTGAAAACGTTCGCATAGAAATCATATGAATATGGCATTGGTAATCCCACCGCCTGTGCAATAGGACTTAATGAAAATGGTGTACTAAAGATCAAATACACGATGGAAGTGCTCAGTAGTTGTATAATCATTTTACGATATTTCTGCCATTCAATTGATCGACGTAGTCGATTTCGAGCTTGTATAACTCGTATAATCAGTGTACTGCTAAAAAGAGTAATTAAAATTGTTGGAACAACCTGATGGAGAATCAAGTCAATAGAATAAAGGTTAGGTGTAGGTAGATTCATATAACAAATAAAACCGCATAAATATAATGAAAAATCAAATATATTGACACAAGGATATAGAAAGTCAACAGCAAAATAGTAAGTTAAGGTATATAGACAGATAACAGCTATTGGTAGATAGTGAAAAAAAATTCGACCTCGTTCTGTATTAAATAAAGTTGAATGAAAAATCAATAAATGTCGTTCAAATGCTACCCAACTCATGAGAAGTAGACTTAAATAATACGTAACTGAGCCGATGAACCCCCAAGTGATACAGTTTGCATAGGTTGATGGACGAACAATGCCCGTATGCAAATATTGAAGAACTAGTGACAAATCATACGTTAATGTGATGAAATTAAGTATAAGTATAATAAAAATACCATGAAAACTAAGTGTCTTTTTTAAATCTTTCGGCGAAGAAAGAAAATAATAACCAACAATTAGATAAGCAATAAAAGATAATATTTGGCATGTTTGTAAAACTCCAAAAGTAAGTTTTTGTATGTACGTTGGATTGTTCGATGTTTCTATTATAGATGCAATGCTTGTCGTATTCAGAATTGTCTCACTCATATTTGTTTCCATTACTTAATATGAAAATAAGTAAATAATTTATTTCACTTTATATTACTTAATGAAGTTACTAACATTCACTATTTTTTCTTCTGCTAAAATGAGCCGTGTTTAGCGTATCCACATAGAAAAAGAATTAAATAGACAAGGCACTTTTTTTTTTTACTTTGAAAAAACATTAATAGTTTTTGCTGTGAGATGAATATTTCAAAAATGAGAAAATTGTTTACATGACATGGCAAAATCATGCTTGATGTGTTTTTTAATTTATAATTGATAGAACATTTACGTCTTTCAACTTTTTTGCTCGTAATGAATTCATGCATATGCTGAACAGAGTTCCACATGAATATTTTGTGTCAAACGTATCATAATGATTGTCGTATTCAGCTCTGAAAATAAAATCACATGAGCGAGATAAATATTTTTATTCACAAGCGGAGAAAACAACTTGGATTAAATGATATGATGATCTCTCTTTCAAGAAAACATTTCAATTAGGGTTGTTAACGTAGGATTCCGTCTGTCGGCATCCTAAATGATCATTGGTGCCTCCTATTTCTAGAAATTGGAAAACTTGTGAGGTTTTTTTTATTCGATGAACGAAGAACCACATAGAAGTGTGAGTGCGGATGTGAGTCTTCTTTTTTATCTATCTCGATACCCACGCCTACAGGCACAAAAGTGTGTTACTGTAATCATCGTGTCGTATTTTGATAAAAAAATATAAGGTCAAATTCGCATTTAGATTATGAACGACGAACAAAATGTAAATACAATTCGATGAATAGCAGTCAATTTTTCTTATTTAGCTTTAAATATAATTGAACATACTTGTTTCTAAAATGACTAAATGCAACATTCAATGTTTGATATGTAATTTCTGGAATATTACAGAAATATACCGTAACATCTATCAATATTATATGAAATTTATTTTTATTGTCTTGAAGTAAATTATGCAATAGAAGTCTGTTTTATTATTGAAAAAGTTTAGTAAGATCTATTGACCAAAAATAAAATAAACTTGAGGTCTAAAACAAGTCGTAGTTATCTGACTCAATTGTTTAACATATCGTGGCAAAATACAATCAATCTCTTAGTCATTGCATCTGTTTTGAAGATACAATTGCACCTTCTACTGATGAGTAGCACAGTCCTATTACAGAAACACTGATTCATCTGATGTGAAATCTTCTTCATAATCGAAACGCATTGTAACAATTCTCTGCTCAACAATTAATAAAAAACATTAATGCTATTAGACTAAAACAGGTTGCATCTTGATTATAATATAAACTATTTGTTCATCGTTCATGAAGAGATTGTTTTACTTGTTGCTTTATATATAAAAATATGTGCAATGCACAGAACAACGACGACCATCGCCTAAAGTTTTCTCGATTGGCAGAGCAGCCACGCCTACCAGTAACTGGAAAAATATTTTTCGTCAATTTTTTCTCATACTTATAGCTCTATAATATTTTCTTTTAATTTTTCAGCATTTGACGTACATTCCTTTTTTAAGAATTTCTAGCAATAGAATTTAACAACTGGTATTATTAAGACATGGCCATCTCCGCACAGGCGATGTATATCTCTAATTAACATACTTTTTTTTCATTGAATTTTTCCTAATATTAGTTCTTGATCATTGACAACCATTTATAGGAAAGAATTCGACCGAAACTAAATAATTGACTAGAACTTCAAGGTAAGTCATTATTTCTTGTCGCATGATAAATATTTTTTGCATGATGATCGCAATGGTTTATATGTCTATCTATTTCTTAATGATGCTTTTTTTTCTACAGGTTCGACATTACAAGGATAAAGTCATTGCTTTGTAGATGAAAATAATTTTTCATGCATAAATTTTATTTAAGCTTCATAAAAGAAGACGATGTTTGCTATTGTAATTATCAACACTGTTATAATTAAATGTTTTTTTTGTCGTAACGATACTGTTGTTCAACAATATTTTTTCAAAAACTGGGTGGGTGGGTGTGGGTGTCTTTTTCTACACCCACACCCACACCCACACACCCACACTACACCCACACCCACACACCCACACCCCACACCCACACCCACACCCCACACCCACACCCACACCCACACCCACATCCCACACCCACACCCGCCCACATCCCACACCCACACCCACACCCACACCCATCCACACCTATCATATCCCATGTTATACAAACCGGAACAAAATCAGCGGTTTACCGCGGTAAATCGCCGGTTTTGACGAATACCGCAGTTTACCGCTTAAATAATTCGGCTAACTGGTTCATGAACTACCCTTCAAATCATTGATTTCTCTATTTTAGATGTTTTTTTTTCCGTACTTTCCGATATGGGATACAACTGAATTATTCTAAGAACCCCTTAGATCGATCTGAGAAAAGAAACAGGGCTTTAGAATATACGTGTTAGTATATTAGTTCGACTCTTTCATAACTTTGCACTATCTATTATTTAACTTTGTTATTGTTATCAGCTTCTATGTTTTATCTTTTGTGTATTTACCATTTATTTTAATTTTTTTATTTTCATATTACAAGCTTCCATAGACGCGACAAACAAGAGCGTATTCAAGAAAAAAAAAACAACCATTCAAATACGATTATCTATATATATATAGTAATAATGTTGTTTTGCCTATTTATTATTTCATCAATTTTTATTCCTATACAAACAATATCTATTGAAGACTCTAATTCAACAACAACTTTTAGTACTGATAAGTAAAGTATCTCAGTTTTGAAATAAATATTTAAATATAATCGATGAATATCTAGGTTACCAAGAGTTGGTCCTTTGCTTGATTTTCGAATTTTACCCTATATTGGTAATGGTCACATAGCTACTGTTGTATACAGTGATTTTATTTATATGAGTGGACTTTATAATGGTGAAAATGGTTTGTATATTATTTTCTTGTTTTTATTTCTTGGTTATTATTTTTGAATTAAAGGTACTAGCCACCGGGCACGTATTCCAAGTACAGTAAATTGGGAATTTATAATAATATCAAAATCATCATTATATACTTTAAATGTTTCATCAGGTAAAAATAAAACTTTTCTCAGTCGTTTTAATTTAATTATATTCTTAGGTATATTTATTGAAACCCATGAAAATCATGAAGTTCGAATTGAACGACGTATATTTGCTTCACAAGAATATACTGAATTATTAGTTACTCATGTAGTACTAATTCGAAAAGCACCTAAAGGTTTTGATTTTTAATATTCGTTTGTTTTCTTTTTCTCAATATGCTACTTTAGGACGGAAAATTGTTGTACCTGTTAAAGTACATGAACAAACAACCAGTATTGATATTAATTTTACCGTCGCAGCTCGTAATCCTCAATATGTGTAAATAAGATTTAATCTTATTTTTATTTCATTTTTCGTTTTTTTTTCGTATTAAAGCCTTTTAGTTGGTAAAACACGTGAAATCGAAAATAATCAATTTCAACCAGAAGGATTACCTGTATTCGTTTATTATACACCATTACCTCATAAAGGATTAGAACTTGATCACGACGAAACAAATCGAACCTATCTATTTGTTACTTCAATTGATAGTAATCAATCCATAGCTAAACAAAGTTTTGATTATGGTAATTTATTTATCAATATTTTTTGAATGGATAATAAAATATTGATCATTTTCAATAGTAACAATTGAACAACAACCAGATGTTATATTATCATCACATATATCTCGATGGAATAATGTATGGTCAAATGGACATATTGAGATACAGGGAGATGATGAATTACAAAGACAAATCAATTCTGCTTTCTATTATATTTTAAGTTCTCTACCACCTTTATTAACGAAAAGTGAACCAAAACAATTTTATGGTTTAAGTCCTGGTACTCTTTCATGGGGTGGTCGTGAAGGTGAAGATTATGCAGGTCATTCATTTTGGGATACAGAAACATGGATGTTTCCATCAGTTCTTCTTTTCTATCCGACGTAAATAAAACAAAAATAGTTCTATTCATCGATATAGATTTTCTTTTATTAGATTGGCTAAAGAAATATTATCGTATCGAATTGCTTTACGTGACTCTGCAGTCTACAATGCTCGTCTATTTGGTTATGAAGGATGGAGGTATCTGATGCATTCTTTATTTTTGTTTATACTAAAATTGTTTTGAATAAGATTTCCTTGGGAAAGTGCTCGAACCGGTGTTGATGTAACACCAGATTGTTGTCCTACTGGTCGTCTTTATGAAATTCATATTACGGGTGATATTTCATTTGCTGCTAGACAATATATTTCAGCTACATACAATCAAGATTGGTTATTGAATGAATTTGGTGGAGAATTAATTTATGAAACAGCTCGATTTTGGAGTTCACGTGTCATATATAATAATGAGACAAAACAATATGGAATATTGAGTAAATAAATTCTATGAAATAAAAGTCTTTTAATATTGTATTTTATTTTTATGTTAGCCGTTTTACCACCAGATGAAGATGCTCAACCATTCAAAAATAATTCTGTTTATACAAATGTAATTGCTTCACTTTCTATTCAATTGGCTCATAATATTAGCTGCATTACTAATAAAACAATACCTCCACAATGGCTGGATATTGTATCTAATCTATATTTTCCTTTCGATAATTCAACTAAAACTTATCTTGAATATGAAGGTTTTGATTTAAGTAAATAATTGACTTAATATGCTTTTATTTGAAATAATTCTTATTGATCATATCTATTCGTTTAGAGCATACTATTATAAAACAAGCCGATGTTGCTCTCCTCGGATTTCCATTGATGTGGTCAATGAATGATGAAGTGAGACAAAATGATTTATTAGCTTATGAACCTTTAACACGTACTGATGGACCAGCTATGACTTGGTCAATGTATTCAATTGGATTTACTGAACTAGGTGATTTTGATAAAGCTGGTCAATTTTTTCGACGCTCGTACGAAAGTTATGTACGACCTCCATTTAATGTTAGTTATTTAAATATGTTTTTCTTCTTTTATTTTTTTATCATTTTATTTTGATATAACAGGTATGGACTGAAACTCAATTAGGTGTTGGTGCAGTTAATTTTATAACTGGTGTTGGAGGTTTTTTACAAGCTGTTCTTTTTGGTTATGGTGGCATTCGTCTAAAATTAAATGAACTTGAATTTCAACCTCGTGGTCATCTACCAGATCAAGCAACTAAATTCATCTTTCATGGTATTAAATATCAAGGATTTGCTCTTGATTTGACTATTGATAATAATATCTATGAAATTTTTGTCAGTTCCCAGAACAATAATGATTCTATTCCTCTTGTATATGAATATGGAGATCATCGAGGTTCGCTAAAAGTAAACGACAGTCTGTCACTTCCTATAGATACACGCCTTATCATTCGTCGATCAGTCGCTCTTTGTCCTTGAAATTGTATTTCATTGGCTATTTTTGCTTCATGAAATAAATAGTTTTTCATTCCTTCAGAATCTGACAGATGTTCCTAAGCTTTAGAAAAAGAAAATGAACTACTACCAGTTTCATTGGTTTCTCTTCGATGAAATGTGTCTCTATTCCAAGATGCTAGAACTCATATTAGAATTCTGAATACTTCGTTTATCATATACAGATTTTAGCAACAAAAACTTTAGATTTATCGGAGCGTACAAAATAATGGGAATTATAGAACAACGAGAATAATTCGAATGCTCAATTGATCAAAATTGTGGCAGTATCAAATCATAAGAACAATGAGAACTATGATTGTTGCGTGTTCTCAAACTGGTAAAGAAAAGGATAAATGCTGATGGTTGCATCGGTGACCTCAATGTTTACTTCCACAAAAACCATCTTGGTATCAGAGCATTGGTGCACAATATACTTTTCAGAGTGTGGGTGTGTGGGTGTGGGTGGGTGGCTGGGTGTGGGCGGGTCGCTGGATGCGGGTGTGGGTGTGGGTGGGTGGCTGAGTGTGGGTAGGTCGCTGGATGCGGGTGCGGGTGTGGGTGCGGGTGCGGGTGCGGGTGTGGGTTAAAAGCAGAACTACACCCACACCCACACCCTGATGAAGGTAGAACTAGGGGTGGGAAGTTACCGTTACCGTTCTCGGGTAACGGTAACGGGGCAGTTACCAGTTACCCGGGAACTGGTAACTTTTTCCGTAGCAACCGTTACCGTTACCGTTCCCGGGTAACGGTCTGGGAACGGTAACTTCCCACCCCTAGGTAGAACAGAAGTTCTGGTTGCGGTCGAAAATTTATCATCGGCATCAATAGTACAACCAAGAAAAAAGAAACGAAAGAAAGGCGTTTTCAATAGAGAATGGTTAAAAATCGCCGAATATCAACGATTTTTAAAAGAATATAAATCCGATCCGTCTCAAGCAACATGTATAGTCTGCAATCAACAGTTTTCTATTCATTATCGAGGTAAAACTGACATAGATAATCATATGAAGACTCAGAAGCATCAAAACAATATGAAGTCTTTTGATATGAATCAACAGTTAATAACAAATACAATGAAACCTTCCAAAGAAAAAGATGAAATTGCTGCAGCTGAAGGTACCCTAGTATATCATGGTGTTAAACATGGACATTCATATTTATCTCAACAATGCTTGATAAATGTATGTAAAACAATATTTACATCTTCAACAGTCGTAAATAGTTTTTCATGTGCTCGAACCAAAGCAACATCCATTGCTGTAAATGTACTATCCCCATGTTTTACTCAACATTTACTTGATGATTTGAAAAACTCCTCATATTTTTCTTTGTTATATGATGCTAGTAATAAAGGAAATACAAAATTATTTCCATTTTGTGTTCAATTTTTGTCTGTTACAGGTGTTAGAAAAGGTTTGCTTTCTTCCTGAGTTCGTCCAACTTATAATTAATTGACATCTTTTTTTTATCGTTTCAGGAATAATTGATTTAATTGATGATGCTGATGAATCAGCAATTAAAACTTTTGCAAATGCACATCGGTTGCTTTTGGATAATGGTTTAGATATACATGGATTAACAGCATTAGGAGCTGATAACACGAACGTCAATGTGGGTGATAATCATTCAGTTTATTCATTATTTAAAGATGAAATACCTGATATTCTGAAAGGTACAGTACTTTTACTTTATTAAGAAAGTTATGGAGCTTTGTAATTCAATAAACTTTGCGAGTTTGGCCATCAGGAATTAATTATGCATGATAAGAATTAATTTTTGAGTCCTTTCAAACTAACTAATCCTTAATGGCATATATATTCTATTATTTTTAGAAAAGATAGTTGTTTATTTTTTTAAAGTAAGAATATGTTTCATATTTTTTACTTCTAGGCAATTGTTGCAGCCATATATTACATAATTCTGTAAAACATGCTCATCGTGTGTTGCCAATTGACATTGAGCAAATATTATGTTCTATATATTCTCATTTTTCACGTTCTGCAAAACGTATCAATGAATTAAAACAATATTACGAATTCTATGAACAAGATGTTAAAGTAAAATGTTTTGTCACTTGGTCTTGCTTATATACTGATCTAATTTACAATACTTTCTACTTTTTTTACAGGTAATATTGAAACATATAAAACTGAGGTGGTTAAGTCTATACTTATCCATCGAGCGTTTAGTGGAAGTATTTATCTCCGTAAAGAAATATTTCTTGGAACAACACGAAAATTGTCCATTGGAAATAAAACAATTTTTTGAACGTGATGAAGTTCCATGCATTTTAAGTTTTTTGCAACATGTATTATTTGAAATTCATCAGAAGAACCTGGAATTACAACGCTATTATACAACAGCTGTTGATTTATTTCGAATACACTCTAAAAAAAATCGGTTTTTTACTGAACCCCCAAAAAAGGTTCCGGAGATGTCTAAAAGCGTCCAAAGATGTCCAAAGTCTCAAAAAAAGGATAAAAAAATCTACGAAACCTTTAAAGGTTCTTACCGTGTACCCAGGATAAGAACCTTTTGCTGCGAAACCTTTTTTTAAGTTCCGTACAGCAGAAAAAGGTTTCGTAGGAAAATACGAAACCTTTAGAGTTTCATATTAAATTTTACGAAATCATGAGGATTTAGTACGGAACTATTAGGGTTTAATATGAAACTCTAAAGGTTTCGTATTTTCCTACGAAACCTTTTTCTGCTGTACGGAACTTAAAAAAAGGTTTCGCAGCAAAAGGTTCTTATCCTGGGTACACGGTAAGAACCTTTAAAGGTTTCGTAGATTTTTTTATCCTTTTTTTGAGACTTTGGACATCTTTTGACGCTTTTAGATATCTCCGGAACCTTTTTTGGGGGTTCGGTAAAAAACCGATTTTTTTTTAGAGTGTTCCTCTCCAATGATCGTAACTTATTTTTCTTCTCCCCTGTACTATTATTCATCTATCTTTTACTTATCTTTTCCCCTTTCATATTATTCTTTTATTATTATATGATTATTATATGTTTATGGTTACACCCATATTAATAAACGCACATATGTATTCTCAACTCACTCATCTCATTGTCAACATAACCAAGTCGGTATGAATATTTGCTGTATTTACGTGAGATCTCTCGTTCCCATTGCAGATCAGGATTAAGTATACTGATCATCTAACCATAACCGTTAGTGTGAGGCTAGAATCACAATTTCTTCAAAGGAGAGTCTTACAAACACCCGCACCCATACCCACACCCTCACTATAAGAAACATGTGTATCATCTTGTCTCAGGCAAAGTAGTCCATAAGCTGAGATATACGGTCAAAAAGTGATATACTTACAGAACTCTATATAGTAATCGTAAAAGAGTGACTGTTTACGACATGTCTTACGCAGCGCTATATGAACATGATATGGACTGTGATATTATAGAAGCTTCATAAGATAAAATATGATGATCCAGAAATAATGCGAAAAATTGGGAACGTTTGATCGCGCATTATTAATTGATTTCACTCGGAATAAGTCAAATATCACCGCATGCGCTTTCATTTTACTTTTCTTATACAGGAAATGCTATTTTAGTTGTGCTAGTTGACATATACAGATAGTTATTCTTGATACATGGTCAGGAAGGGATGTAATACTGTTATTCATGACAGATAAACGCCTCTTTCATATCGCATTCCGCTCATTTTTCATGGCTTTTCTATGAAAGAAAATCATTCTTGCAAATCTTGTATAAGTGACAAAAGGATATAGCTTTGATAGCAGGAAAAGACATAAAAATGAAAAAGTTTGATTCTTCCATTTTTTTTCAGATCTAAATAAAAGCAGCTAAGGCATTCATATTAGAGATATGCATCAAGGTCTCTATTGAACAGAATGGTTTTAAATCTCTTCTCCGGAGCAGCACTCAAATATGTTCCCTCGTTAGCGATGCAAAATAGTAGTGTATCAAAAATCTTTACCTAACATGAAGTTTTGCGCTCTTGATCATAATATCCGAATTCGAGCCATCTGATGAGACTACCTTGTCAGCAAAGTCGAAGCCAACAATGGCTGCTCTTGCTTACCCTCGCATGTGTATTCGTTTGTGCATACAACTTATTCGTCTTATTGAAAATGAACAACGAAGTTCATTCTACATCTATATATGCTTCATAACCACAATAAAACACAATGGCATACATTTAAAAAAAAATGATCATAAGTCATTAGGAGACACTGGTTCATAGACCGGTAACTGGTACATATCTCCCCATACACTTGAAAGACAGACGGATGCATGAAAACGAAAAAATATTTGAAGAGGTGTAGCGATTGCAGCAATGATCGACCATGGAATAACGTGGTAGAAGTCCAGTTGAGTTGTATTAGCTTCATGTTTAGTCGTTGTTGTCGTTTTTTGAAACCAGAGACTCAGATCAAGTATAATCAGTAGAGTGATCATTCCACGTGCCGGATATTTATGTTTGCTCGTTGGTCTCAGACATTTGCGCAATACAATGAGAACGAACAATGCGTGAATGGTACCTTCGACAAACTCTACAAAAGACTAAATCATTAAGTTATATATCATGCTAGTTGTAAACGAGACTGACTAAGAGCTCAGTAAAGTATTTCACGGAATTGTCGATAACTAATCTCAATCCTCTTGTCCAATATGTATCATACCTAAAATAATCACTGCTAATTTAACATAGACGATCCATGTTGATGAAGTCAAGTTGCTCATGATAGCGAAAGCACTGAAGATCGAATACAAATAGATGCCTGTCAATGACACAATAATGAGAACATCGTCGAAACCTATGAGACAAAGCAACATCAGAACATATATTTTTCTCTTCTATCTTACGTGTTGTAGTGCGACGATAGTTCATTTTGCGAATTTTGATTAATGACCACACCGTGGCACATAACGAAAGCGTCAACACACACAAATTACCGATTTCAAGAACGGCATTGGCGTAGAATGTTGGATGGGATATTGTTGTTGTACTTGCAGGAATAGGATGCGAATGATTGCGATGCATATGAACCAATGAAGATGGCGTCGCATGGATAGAATCATCTAATTTGTGTCGTAAAGCAGCATAGAGAACGATAGAAAGCATCGTATAGGAGAAAACGATCAATCCAGCAAAGAGGCCTTTCGTGGATGCTTGACAATTGACCATGAAAACGTTCTTTGTCGATTCTTTATCTGATATTTTATGGAGAAATGTTTTACCGATATTTTCCCAAATGAGAAAGAACAACTAGATAGAATCAGTTAAGATGCATAGCGACAAGCTCAAAAACTAGGAGAACTTACTGTGAGACACATGAGACTAAATTCGATTGTACAGGGATATAGAATTGGTGTCAGTCTCATGTATTCTTCGTAGATGAAGGTAGTAACCTGTAAACCGGTGGCGAGTACCTTGGAGCACTCCGGATTGGAGCTCAGTAGACGATGAGAAAGGTTGATTGTGCTTTGGCTACCTTTTTCGATTCGGAAAAGTATGTTAAAGGCAAATAAAAAAAAAGATGATGAGTACTCACCGTTAATCAAGTGGCTAATGGTACTACTGTGTTGTGCTAGAGCCATTTCATGCTCTCTGATTTCCACAATCTGCGATTTGGTTTCAACGATGACCATGCGAAACCTATCAAAATACGTCACGGAACATTGTCTGATGATCATAAATCTTGAAAAATTAGTATCCAATGGAATAAAGATCGTTTGTGACCAATGTTGGAAATGATGAAATTATCGAAATTGGAAGTTATCTCGAAAACTTCAGAATCAGCTAAATTACAAATGAATAAAAAATCTTCCTAGGTTAGAGATGCACCGTTTCTGAATAATCAGAGCCGGTGGAAATGGAATCGGTGCATCCCCATGTCAATTCGAGGGAAATTATGGAAAACCAAACGGTCCGTTTCGTCTTTATTGTAATCGTATATTTAATTCTGTAAAAAAAATCAATCAAAAGATTTCACATTTCTATTTTCGAGCCTTTATGTTCGCATCAAAATTTGAAAATGAAAAAAGTCTGTCTCATTTTAGTAACGGTGAACCTACCATACACACAAATTAGTGACCACAATATGCATGACTGCCAATTGAGCTAAACTTTTATAGGCTCGAATGATGAGCTAAAGAAAATACTCAATATTCGATTTATGTTTTAATATTACATTATTTCAGAAGAACATACGTTCGAATGTTTGAAAATGAAGAAGAATTGAATGAAGCTGAAGAGCAATCGTGAGGAATTATCCATTACAGATATCCATCGTATACATGAACGATTTTCCAAATTACTTAGAATCGATAGAGCCGAATGAATCACTGTGCCAAGGCAAAAAACTAAAATGATCGAATTGACAAATTATTTGAATTTTCTGCAAATTCAAAACTGTTTTTCATGACTACATGTTTTAAAGTTTAGATAATGCTATATATTAGACTCATTCCTTGTTCGTATAAGTTTTGTTAACATTGTCATAAATCGGTGACATAATGGCTTCTCTTTTGCGAGTGCAATTTATGATAAAGATGAGACACGTCTTGCAGAGAGTGCTTTTGCTTGTGTGATGATCACGATTGATGCAGATTATGTCATGATACTCTCAGGTCATTAGCAACTAGACTATTGGGCAGTCAGAAAATTTAGATGTATTCTCTTCTACACATCCATCAACTAAGCTTCGACCAAACAGTATGTGAACTGGACCCAGACGTTCAAGGCTTATAACTGTCTGGTTTGCTTTTACAACTTCAATTACATATCAGAGATGGAACCAGTTCGGTTTGAACTTTTTAAAAATCCAGATCGATTCGGTTCGGTTCAGAGATGCACCAATTCCTAAAATTGGCTGGAATTTGAAGTAATCGGAATTGGTTATGGTAGACTTGTAAATTTTGCATATGTCCCAAAAGTCATGATTCTTGTATAAATGTATATGATTCTAGTACTGATCAAGCTTAATCCAGAACTTTTTTCTATTTGAAAGCAGAATACAGATTTTTTTAAAATGGCAGCAACAATTTTTTGAATAACCTTCAACCATTTCAGACTACCAAGTTCGGCCTTTCTCTATTAGATAGAGCTACCTTGGAGACTTCTATCTGTATGAGACTCATTAGGGTCAAAGACATTTTTCATAGTAGGTCTGTAATTGATATATTTTTGTCTAATTTCGCAAGTTGTCCTATACACTCTAAAAAAAAGGAACTTTACCGAACCCTTCAAAAAGGTTTTGTAGGTGTCTAAAAGCTTCCAAATGCGTCCAAAGGCTTAAAAAAACGGTTATTAAAATCTACGAAACCTTAAAAGGATCTGTCCGCGAGTACACCGTCCGAACCATCTCCTACGAAACCTTTTTTAAGTTCCGTATAGCAAAAAAAGGTTTCGTAGGAGATGGTTCGGACGGTGTACTCGCGGACAGATCCTTTTAAGGTTTCGTAGATTTTAATAACCGTTTTTTTAAGCCTTTGGACGCATTTGGAAGCTTTTAGACACCTACAAAACCTTTTTGAAGGGTTCGGTAAAGTTCCTTTTTTTTTTAGAGTGTAGAGACCCAGGTACAAATTACATCACACTATAGTCCGATTGGTGCTGTATCCGTGATAAGATTTTCAGTTCTTTCTGCCATTGTTTTCAATATGAGAATGCTTTAAATCCTTCATATTTTGATGGAAATGTAAGACCTTTCGACTACATTTGGATGAATTTGAGCCTAGGTCTCTATGCAAAGTTGCGAAAATAGACAACAAAATAGATATTAGTTAGATATCTACTATAAAGAACTTTTTTCACCCTAATGAATCTTATACAGATAGATCTCCTGAAGATTTCTCTATCTAATGGTGAAAAACTGAGCTCGATAGCTAGGAATGATCAAAAGTTATTCAAAAAATAGTGATTGGTATTTTTAAAAAAGAACGCGACAATAGAAAGGTTTTTTAAAGATTAACTTCGTCAACACTAGAAAAAGTGCCATTTTTAGGTACAATACAAAAAATTAGACTTTTTTCGATATCAAAACAACATGCACTGTTTTTTAATCAATATTTACTTGAATTTTCCTCGTTATTATGAATTTCAAATCATCTAGATCTTTCATAGTTGCGTTACAATCATTTGTCTGATAGGTTTCAAAACGATCAAATTGCTGATGTGTTTCTTCAAAGAAGGTGATTCGTGGTTCTTGAAAAACTTTAATAACTGTAGCAACAAATATGTTACACAATTTTCTAGCTCATCTGTCATTAGAATTGGCTCTTTGTTGTCTTTCCATAAGAATTTATCACCGCAAGTTCTGATAAAGTCATGGTAAAAAACTTCAAAGGTTTGAAGTCTATGACAACGAGAAAAATTCAAGTAAATATTGGTATTTAAAAAATGGTACATAATGTTTTCGTATCAAAAAAGCCTAGTTTTTGTGTTGTTGTCAAAAGTGATACCCTTTCTACAGTGTTGATGAAATTGGTCTTTAAAAAATCATACTGGTATCCCGTTCAAATAGAAAAAGAATGATAGATTAGACTTGATTAATAGTGGAGTTATATGCATTGATAAAGTGATAATGACTTATGGGACAGTATACACGCACTAACTTATTCTAAGCTTTTATTCGGTTCGGCTCGATTTAGAAATTTTTTAGTTCGATTCGGAAAAAATACGAACTGATACCATCTCTATTACATACATAGTTTTCTCTAATATAGACTATTATCATTCAGACTTTCGAAAAATTCAATATGAAGCATCGTTCCTGTAAAATGATTCATGTAGATGACCGGCAGTGACTCCTATTTTTTTTTGTTCGACTTACTTCCGATGCCTATGCGAGTATAGAGACCACCAACGGTAGAATTGCCATCGTAGTTGTAGCCGATAATGTGTTGAACAATGCTGTCCCTTCGACGGCGTACAAAGGTTCCGAGATCACGTTGTCCGATTGCACTGAGAGCACTTTGTCGACCCCGGACGCCTCGTGTCATATCTGTTGATGATTTCGTTGCCAATGATTGATACGAGAGATTTTCCAGAGAGTTCAATTTATTGCGATGATCATCAAAAGTAGATATATCTTGATTGTCTGTTGATACTTCATTAAGATTGATCTCTGATCGATTATCTTCGTTATTATCTAATTGATCTTCTTCAGACTCATGGAGTACTTGCAAATCGCTATAGGTTGCAATTGATGATTTTCTATTTGCTCCTGTCGACGTTAATATACGTTTGTTTCGAGTGAGACGAATATCACTAGTCAAATCTGCATCGTTCGAATTCAATTTGTTCGAAGTGCCTCGACGACGATTGATGTCAATCATACAAAACATCATCCAAATGATGGATACCCAATATAGATAGATGAAGTAGCTCTACAATAAAGTGAGATTGATGTTGATAATAAGTCTCAGTTCTTCTTAGGATACACGTGTTTACCCTAGCCAAGAGTTTGATCGTTCCGGCTCCTTTTCCTTGTACGATAGCATAGGAAGTTGAGAAGGCCACACCGCCGATGAAGACAACTAAAGAATTATCGTGTCTATAATGACCTCAGGCAAATTCATGTTTCTAATAAAAAATTCATCTGTCTATCACAGCTGATCGGACCAAGAGATGAATAAAACGAACTTTTTGTTGAAATTATTTTTGTTGAGAATGGCGGTATCCATGCTGAATATTGGGACGAAAAAACTAGCTGGAACTTTCTGAGACATGAACAGAACGGATCAGTTTTTGATGCAGAATACAATTCCG